TACCAGCCACCTACCGTCGTGCCTGGTGGTGATCTGGCCAAGGTGCAGCGTGCCGTCTGCATGCTGAGCAACACCACGGCCATCGCCGAGGCCTGGGCTCGTCTGGATCACAAGTTCGATCTGATGTACGCCAAGCGTGCCTTCGTCCACTGGTACGTGGGAGAGGGTATGGAGGAGGGCGAGTTCACTGAAGCTCGTGAAGATCTGGCAGCCTTGGAGAAGGATTACGAGGAGGTCGGCACCGAATCAGAGGAAGGAGGAGATGATTATGACGACGCAGAATACTAAGAAGTAGCAACATCCATCTCACCAAAACACAGGAAAAACTAACTACGCACATAGCTAGCATTTAGTTTGCTGAAAGTTCAACATAATAACGATGGAGAAAACCGAGTTACTGTTAAATTTCACTCAAGCCAAAGAGAGACAGGAAAATTGAACTCATTAGCATACAAATGACCACAAAGAAAACTCTAGACCGATCACAATTACTCTATATACATTGTATTTCTTGAATAGCAGGGCTGAATTTCAAAATGGCGGGAAAATAAAAGCCAACCTAAGCATAGGAAAAAGAGAGAAGGGAATCTAAAATTAACTATTGTTTCTCTTTAAAAGTGCACTCTATAAACTTTGAATGGAATGAAAATTATTATTAAAAATAAACAAATAAATAAACAGCAAGAAGGTTTAAGGCAAAGCAGATGGAATGCGCGTTTCCTTTTCGAACTGACACGAGCATTATTTCTGTAGCAAACTATGTTGCAATTAAATGTGAAGTCAGATCCGCTTATCCTGTTTATAGTGTAATTTCTTATTTTTATGAAAGAGACCGCCAGGCCTGATCCTTATATCCTTAAAAAAATCAGCTGTGTACAAAAATATTCACATTAATTAACTATTACTGTTCATCCACAATTTAGATATGTCGAGGCCACACTCAACCCGTCTCCTCAAACTCTCACCTAGGGGTCTACAGCCGCAAAGCAATCTTATTTATAATTTCCTGGCATTGCTTAGGTCGGGTCAATCCTTCCCGTTATGGATTTTCATCTTTATCGCCCCACATATTCGATAATTGTGTCTTGTCCCATAACTCTCCCCTCTCTTCCCCCTCCCCCACGCAACTAACCGATCCCTGACCCCTTATGAGCTCTAAACGACAGCAATGAACATCCCAGCGTATCTTTGTCCGAAACGTACCCTCAATCATCCACGAGAATCTAGACGATTGGAGATGCGAATCTGCTGTGCGGAGTTCATCAATTCACGCAATTTGCCCTGGACAAATTTCAGCAACCTTTCAACCTTGCAGTCGAAACCCTGACGGTTAGAATTTTAGTGAAGGGTAACGACCTAGTGAGGTGATTTATGGAGGCTTTACGGAGAGCTCCTTCAGTTTTAATCATAGCTTCAATTTGTCTTTCCTTTGATTCTGACCTCTGATGTTTCATTCCAAAGCGGTTGACGTCCGCAAAAGGTTAGATACCCCAGGCAAATAAAACTTCGAAACGTCATACAAAAGACACACGATAATCCCAATGTCAAAAGCATAAAATATAAGCCAGAGCTTTGCTTTAGGCAGTGAAACTATCCAGTCTTTCATCCGTTTAAAGTTGTCAGAAATGTTGCTGGACGTTTTTTCGACAGAGAGCGATGTGCCTCGGAAAATATTGTTTAGCAGTTTTACGCCGCGTATGAAGTTGTAGAAGAGCTGTCTTTATACTATAAATGAATATAAATTTACCCTTAAATCTTTCGACCCATTAACCTCTCTACCTTCCTACCAACAGCACCAAAAAACTTTAACAGCTCACTTCCGAAATGTACCTCATTTATCATGTAATCCAACGATCTCAATACTGCATTCCTCTTGTCTTTCAATCACTGAAAATGGCTTCAGCTTTCACCAACTCCACCATTAGATGGCGAGGGAATATGCGCTGACATATGTAGAATAGTTTCTGGAGGCCGACTTGAAATTTGTTACGACGGGCCAATCCAAGGACGGCTTCGCATAGTGCACATCGTATGTCAGGCATGGCGTGTCTATTGACAATCCACAAAATCCCTTTTTATGAACAGACGGATGCCAGATGGGTGCGTTAAACTTGAAGGTATATGATGACAAGATTGACATTGGTTTCTTTTTAGAAGTCTGAGTACTTCAACATGTTTGTGCCCTAAAAGGGAACTCTGAGATCTTTCTGAGAAGGAACTGTCTGTCTGAAATGAACCAAATGCTTATCATTTCACTAAAAGGTGACAACCTTATTAGTATACCTAAAGGATTGAGGGCATTCGTTTAGAATGGAAACGCTCACAGTTCATTCAGTGCAGAGGCTAAAAAAATGATGCGCCGAATCTTGCCTGTCCTCGTAGTCACACCGGAAACTAAGTTACTAACAAAATAAAAACCTCATTTACTAACCATGCTACATCTCGTAGTGTGTGAGTTTGAATTAGAACACTGTACATTACGCCAAAGCACAGCTGTATCTGCCTATTGTTTGTAAGGTATGCCAGACCATTGTTTGCCGCCATCTTATTTTCATATAAAAGCCCGCTTCCTTAAAAACAGCGAGTCGCAACAGCAGAGTAGTGCAGCATTAAACATTCTCAAGTAAAATGGGACCAATAACAATGAAACAAGATGCCCACGAGATGGAGCTGTATTGTCGATATGTTAAAGTGAAATAACCGTTCGTTTAATGCACGAATACCTGAAGCAAAATAAGGCTTAACGTTTGTGATAGTTTTCAGATAGGCCTCTAAGGGTTGTCAAAATAATGAATTGGAAAAAGCACTCACCAAAGCTTCCTCTCTGAATAGGTTCCAGTCAACAGTCAAGCAAAATATGACAGCCTCCGTAGATTACACCATTACACACATCCTTTGCGAGAAACGGGGAACCATTAGATGAGTTTCGATCTCCAACTTGCATCAATTGAATAACGCGCGGGAGCTTACGTTATTTCGTCTGCTGTTTGCACGCCACGTACCGTGTAGTTCGAAAAATCTGCGAATGAACAGTAGATGGCGCTGTTCGACACGATATGTGCCGGACATGAAATCGTTAATTTCAGATGACCTCGTTTTCATGTTTCGGAGATTCTGAAAATGTCGTGCAAGGGTTAAAGGGAAATTTCGGAGAAAAAAATGCATCTAATCACTGTGTGTACAAAATTGAAAAAATAATTGCTTATGTCAAAATAAATAAATATAATATAAATTAATAAATTTATAATAAATTAAATAAAACTCTCAAGCAAAGTCTTTACAACACAGCCCTAGACATTTTGTCTTTGACGGCTTTAGGGAAGGGATTTATCCAACAGCGACGACTATCCCTCATCATTTGGTCTGAGTGCCACACCATCATACAATACCCTGACACACATAACACGTCGAGTTGCCATTCATTTTTGTCAACCTAGATGCATACTTCAACGCACTCTAAAGCGCGTCTGCAAAGGAGACTAGCACCGTGGGGAGAGAGGACTGGAAGAAGTTGTGACGTCAGAGCCTAGCCTCCTCGTATCTGTATATAAACCTAAGGGTGTTGGGATGGTATCACTGTTCCTCGCTCTCTGTGGTCATCGGTGTAGCCGAGACGAGGTTGTTATAGCTGAGACAGCAAGCTGGACAGGGCTGCCCACGGAGAAATTCTTCCTTCATTGACTTCATACTCGCCTTCTTTGTTCCAAGACAAATCTTTCATTCAAGGCCAAACCATGGTAAGTTAATCCAACACTGATATTTATCTTGAATTCCATCCTTTTTTCAACTTTGCGTAATCAGTTCTTTGCGTCAGCTGACGCAAGAACACCGTGCCTTGTCGACTTTGACTTAATTGTTCAGAATATTAGAGAGCTTCACATCTCATCTCATCACTTTATTTAGTTTTACAATTTCAACATGATAACCGTTCCATTTTTACATGGAAAATATCCACAAGCACACAAGGCTACATAATAAATACCCTTTTCTCTCAAAAAGGACTACTTTTTACCGAACCTTAAACGGCCACAACAATTTACAGATAAGGGAGAATTATAATGACCACAACGACATCGGTTGCAATGTCGCCCAGCAAATCTGTAATCATGACTCTGCAAAAGATCAAATCGCAATATCATAGCACAATCGTAGATAACCTCGGGTTGTTTCCAACGTATCTGTCGATTTCACGGACAGAAAAAGGTTTCGTATTTGTCTCGTTTTCTCATTTACTGGTCCACAAATTAAGCATCGAATGAAATAAATGTGATGTTTTGCTGATAAGGATTTCCCTCTCCTAGCCGATTTGGTTTACACCATACACAATAAAAAAGGGGATGTGATACCGGTCCATGTTATTGTCTGATAGTTTGGAAGCTTTAAAGGTTGTAGGTGGTTCATATACCCCGGCAAAATAATATCTAAAAAACTAATAAAAAGAAAATGCAGGGTAAGTAATGAAATATATCAAATTGTATTTGTTTCTTAATTTAACAATTAAAAGGACTGACGTTATGATTACAGCAGACTTTTGAGAAGGATTTTGCTTCAATGATCAAAACGTTAGGACCTCCCACTTCAACGAGTTGTTTGTTTGGGTTATTTCAGTCACTAAGCAGTTTTTGCAGTTTGTAATTTTGTATTTGTATCTGCATTCTGTTTCCCAACAGCTTAGAAAAAGATCACACACGGCACTCATTCTTGAACAGACAAGAAAAAAATAAACAAAGTTATGTCGAGAAGTCACTCGACAACAATATTGCTGCATGTCTACGAACGAGTAAATATTTACGGAATGCCTATCTCAATATTTATCTTAAACTATATAAAACAAAAATGATTTATGGTAAATTTTTCCAGTGTAGATTTTAAAAATAAGTAACCATTATTCACATAATTTATATTCCTGCGCGTACGACTTGTCTTAATAATATCCGAGAATGTTAAGGCATCGAAACTCTTCATTAATTAACACAGATACGCAAGTGTTGCGAATATTCCACGCCAATCCAGTGGCCTTTCTCTAAATTCTCGAAGAAATTATTTTAAACACAAACCCCCGATTTATTTATAGCTTACAAACACTTCAAAAAATGTGGCAGATTGATTTGATTAATACCTTAATACTGTGTCCAACTGCGTGTCGCTCAACATTGAATCATGTCGTAACACCGTGACACTGCCCTTGAGGTATGTAGGATCTCAAGCACGCCCGCTGCGTAAGTGTGGATTTATGGCCCCGCTCGACACCCGTATTTTCGCCAAATTTGGTGAAGGGTGTTCGACATAGGCCTATGCATCATTCAGTCTCGCGGAGGCGAGCTCCGTTTCAAATTGACCATTATCAACTTTAAACGCTTTCAAGCATATTCTCCCTGTGGGCCAACGTGTCTTTTGTCGGGATGTTACTTCCTGATATTTCTGTCGTGAGTGCCGTTGGCTTTTGGTGTAAGTACGATGCGTAGCGCGCTGAAGTAAAACGAACAAAATGGTTGTTTTCATTGTGTTTTGGACAATTTGCCCGGGTTTTTGTTTCATGAGGGACAGTACATGGGCGGCTAAGTTGACTATACATGGCTCCGTGGGAGGTGACCCCTGCACAGACTTTTGTTGTACGTTAGGATTTCTACCCACCTATAAAGGTTCGTAAATACATGTTCTGTGAACTGTTATGTGTTACAGTGCATAATTATAGAAAAATTTAATTTTTCTCGGCTGGAGGGTGTGGAGCTTACGACAAGGCACGGCGTGTATGCAGAGCACTTACATTTTGATATCCCCCGTGTGCGTCATTTTTGTCTCTGATTTTGAAGAATGTAACCTACAAATCTAGGCCAGTAGACCTAGTGTAAAGGCCGAGAGCGCACAGGAAGGGGAGAAATATCCACGACCTATCAAACTATTCCTGGCAAAAGCAATGTGGGGGGATTGGATCTAATTTACACACGGAGGGGGCGGGGCAACGACTTAAACGATGTACATCAATATTTCCATCGGCAAAGGAAACAAATGTAAACTGAATTTTCTTCAGAGTCCTTTAAAATTGACGAATCGATGAATTGCTCTTGAAGTACATGCATAAAAGACAAGAATTTTTGAAGTATACCTGCCAATTATGCAAATTCCATTACATCTAAAAGCAGCAGCCAATTAAAGCAAGCGTCTGTGAGTAACGCATGTAGTGTATAATTCATGTGGTCTCCAAATGGCTTCTAAGTATGGATTTGGGGATTTTGGAAGCTTTGAAGGCTTTGTCTCTGGATATGATTTAATCCAATGCGAGGTGAACAAAATTCCAGGTTCAAAAAGACGCTGAAATTCCACAGACGGCACCTTTAACTTACTAGGGCCACGTCTTGGAAAGACGGCACTAAGGTTGACTCAGAAATCTTACGGGCCTCAGCTACTTCACCCGTGAATCCTTGCACGTGTTAGACACGATAAAAGACACACAGAAAAAAGGTCCACATAGCTAGCATTTCTCATCGTGTACGAGGAGCTGCAACTCACCCCCGCTTCATCTCAAGACCACGAAGAGAAACATTCTGAGGGTCTGATTCATACCCCAAGTCGTAACTGAAATAACATCTGTCCAGCGTGCCTATAATGAAGATAAACATCCATGTCATCCGGCGACAGCTGGTTACGAACGCGCGTTGGACAAATAAAAAAAAAATGGAACACAATCTTATAAGACTGTTTGAGGATTTAAAAGCTGGCATTCAGCCAGATTTGGAAAGATGGGTGTGGTAAGTGAGCCCGAAAACCGTGAAGGGGTCGTTTGGTTAGGGAGTATTATCTTTGCCATGGTGTAATTCAGCAGTAGTCGGTATAGTCTTGAAAGGGACACCGTTATTTCACAGTAGGCTTTGGCCAAGAAAAATCGAAACAGCAAAATTAAGCAATCTACCTGATGAAAAATTAATGATCCTGGACCATGCATTTTTTTATCTGCATTCGTTATCTTTCATAAAGAAAAACCCAACCACGACGAGGTGGAAACTCTGATGACACCTTTTCTTTTCTTCAGCGTGAATGCATCTCAGTCCATGTCGGCCAGGCCGGATGTCAGATGGGCAATGCCTGCTGGGAGCTGTACTGCTTGGAACATGGCATCCAACCTGATGGTCACATCCCGGCAGACAAGGTCATTGGTCCTCATGACGAAGCCTTCAGTACCTTCTTCTTGGAGACAGGAGCCGGCAAGCACATCCCAAGAGCCGTCTTCGTAGATCTGGAGCCTACAGTTATCGGTAAGTGAGGGATGTGCTATCACCACTGATAGGCTATGTAAAAGCAGCAATCAATAACAATAATATGACGAGCGGTAACAATGCACAATAAATGCATCTATAGTTTAATGGATAATGGTTGAAAGGCCCATTTCCTGTCGCACAAAGGAGTCCAACAAGATCATTTGTCAGACTAACCCACTGACTATCTAAAGCTTTTCAAAAGTTTATGATATATATGTACTTAAACAGCGACTTTGGCCGACGAATATCTAGCATTTATTATATGACAAAACGTCTAGCAAAAATGGCCAATTCCGCATAGGACACACCATCTGTCTACAAGAGTGCCCACTTTTAATCTGTCAGTTTTACCATGCATTGCTTTCATCTCTGCGGCAAGAAAATTGTCCCAGTCAGGAAATGAATGAAACTACATCTACTGACAAAATTACTCCCAAAGTCTTCGGTGTTCAGTGTTACTGGCACTAAATTTACTATTGCTATAATTTACGTAGATGAGATTCGTACCGGCACCTACCGCCAGCTCTTCCATCCTGAGCAGCTGATCACAGGCAAGGAGGACGCCGCCAACAACTACGCCAGGGGTCACTACACCGTGGGCAAAGAACTCATCGACTCGGTGCTGGATCGCATCAGAAAAACGGTGAATTTACCATTACGTCTTCGATTGTGTGTTTGTCCGCCCTGCTTGTCCACATGTCTGTTAGGTTTGTCTGTTAATCTACGAATAAACTTTCACAGGATGACGTTGGGGATACATTCCTCAAAATACAGAAATTTGCCACTGCTTCAATAAGAGACGTTATAAAGCTGTGGCGCCCTCTATCATTGACGTATCATCAATTCAGTCGCAATTTCAATGATGATTCAAGGGTGGCAGTGGCGTAGCCACGGGGGGGGGGGCAGGGGGCACACACACCCCATTCCCGGTTCCCCGGGTGCAGTCCCCCCCCCTGAAAAAAATGGATGAATAGATATTGATCAAGGCTAACAAAAACTGGCCCCAAAAACTGAAAGCTGGTGTCCCCATAAGATGCAGGTGCCCCCTTTATGCCTCCAACTAGTAAAATCCTAGCTACGCCACTGAAGGGTGGCCGGATTGGCACAAAACCTACGTATTTTTAAATAATCACGACAAACTTCATTGTTGAAACTATTTGCGGTAAAGAACTGTACTCTGACGATGCCTTTGCCGGCAGAAATATTGAAAGAGAAATGTGCCTGCCAACTGTCAAAATTCTTTATGTGAAGACATGATCAAAAAAATGATATTTACATCTTGATTTAATGTTGTCTTGTCAACAGGCCGATCAGTGCACGGGACTCCAGGGTTTCCTCATATTCCACAGCTTCGGTGGAGGAACCGGCTCTGGCTTTACCGCTCTGCTCATGGAGCGTCTCTCCGTCGACTACGGCAAGAAGTCCAAGCTGGAGTTTGCTATCTACCCGGCTCCTCAAGTGTCTACTGCCGTAGTAGAGCCCTACAACTCTGTTCTGACTACCCACACCACCCTGGAGCACTCCGACTGCGCCTTCATGGTTGACAACGAGGCCATCTACGACATCTGTCGTCGTAACCTCGACATCGAGCGTCCGACTTACACAAACCTCAATCGTCTAATCGGTCAGATTGTGTCCTCTATCACTGCATCTCTTCGCTTTGATGGGGCCCTCAATGTTGACCTGACCGAGTTTCAGACCAACTTGGTGCCCTACCCACGTATCCACTTCCCCTTGGCCACCTATGCTCCTGTCATCTCTGCTGAGAAGGCCTACCATGAGCAGCTGACGGTTGCTGAGATCACCAACGCCTGTTTCGAGCCGGCTAACCAGATGGTAAAGTGCGATCCTCGTCACGGCAAGTACATGGCCTGTTGTCTCCTTTACCGAGGTGATGTCGTCCCCAAGGATGTCAACGCTGCCATAGCAACCATCAAGACCAAGCGCACCATCCAGTTCGTCGATTGGTGTCCAACTGGCTTCAAGGTGGGCATCAACTACCAGCCACCCACCGTCGTGCCTGGCGGTGATCTGGCCAAGGTGCAGCGTGCCGTCTGCATGCTGAGCAACACCACAGCCATCGCCGAGGCCTGGGCTCGTCTGGATCACAAGTTCGATCTGATGTACGCCAAGCGTGCCTTCGTCCACTGGTACGTGGGAGAGGGTATGGAGGAGGGCGAGTTCTCTGAGGCTCGTGAGGATCTGGCAGCCTTGGAGAAGGATTACGAGGAGGTCGGTGTCGACTCCATGGACCAAGGTGAACTAGAAGATGTCGAAGAATATTAAAAACTTCCAGCTACTTTTCTTGCTTTGAAAATGCCAGACCAATAATAGAGTCTCAGCTCTGTCACTGTTTAATGTGAAAACGCGCCATATTTAACTTTTTCTTGATCGCCTGCTTGATGTTTCAATTATTTATTGCATTTCTGTAAGCACAAACTTTTTGAACGTTTTCTATTTAATTCTATTACGATTTCTTTCACCTGCTGGATTTGCAATAATGAGGATTAAATTGAAACGAAAAAGTCAACAAAGACTATCTATTTTTGCACAAGATGCTAGAAATACAAGTAACCAAAACCACTGGAACCTGTGACATTTCTCTCTCGTAGCTTGTTGACAGTAAATTATGACAATCACTGTCACACCGTCTGAGACTACAAGATGAATGGTATAATCCTAAGGCCGTGTCCGAAACGGGCTTCCAGAGCTACGGCTAGGTCTATTGTCTACGCGTCTCCACGCATTTCCAATGAAGACCTAGACCTAGCTCTAGACAAGAGATTCGGATGCAGCCTATGTTTTGTTAATGTAACTCGTGCCTGAAGCGAAATGTATGCTTGAAATTGTCATTGTGAACATGTTATTAAAGCGTTTTGAATTAAACCAGCATTCACTTGCATTTAAATCAAGTTAGTTGTGATGTACATCATTTCTCTATTAATATGGCCTTCTCGAGATGGAACATTGAGTAATGCGATCTGTTCGAAGCGGTAGAGTTCATTTTGTACAACAGTAAAAAAAAACTGTAAAACAAAACTGGTGTGCACTCTTCGACAAGGGTGGATCCAAGGGGCCGGTGGGGGGCCATGTCCCCCCCCCAAAAAAATAGGAGCCAAAAATTAAAATAAGAAATGAGAGGACGGCAATTTGGAGTCTATTTGATTTCTTTTTTTCCCCCAAACGAGTAAAAAGCCCTCAAAATGTTTTTTTTTCTAACAGGATCAGATTACTACACCTGCAACGCCTGCAACGCTCGGTTAAACACAAAAACACTATAATTCAATACTTCTCAGAAAATAAACTTTTTGTGAACAAGGCGGTCACGCGACCCTCGGCCTCCCAAGATCAAGCATCTGCGCTGAGAACACACGAACCGATTCTTCCTTAGGCAAATATACTGCTTTCGATATTACTTCATCGATCACGGGCCGATGACACATTGCGAAATGCGGAACCAAAACAGAGATAATAATGGAGCGATTGTTTGCGAATTGGAATCATTCCAAAAAGCACAACCCTTGACCTTGCCCTCAAAAGGAAAACATGCTGGACAACGTACTCTCCGTTACCTGTTCAACATCTTTGCAATTTAGCGAGATGTTCGTTAATCCAGTTCACCTCCAATGTAGTTTATTTCCACCCTCTAAATTATCCTTTCTCGATTTAAGGTCAAAGATTTCAATCTTATAACTGCAGTCCAACACAGCGCTCCACCCCACCCAACCTTGCAATCAAATCTTTGCTACAAAGTACAGTGTCATTCATTTACTTGTTTTAGTCCTTGGTATCGGAGTTTCTTATCAATAAAAGTTCTTAGAAAATTCTTGGTATATCTTGTCTAACGAGCAGTGCATTTTCCTCAAGCTGCATTGAATTTAATGCCATTCTAAAAGTGATAGAACTAAAAAGCAATCAAGAAAAGGCAACCACAAACTTAGGATAAAGGATATGCTTGCTTGATATTTTTCAATTTGTACTTCTACGGAATAAAAGGACGGGGGATACAATTCTGGAGTGAGAAGGTAGAAATGGAGTTACCATCATTATTCAAAAGACCCCCCCCATCAGATTGTGAAAAGAATCGTAAACCCAAATTTTGATCGATTCGCATTTCAATTCATTCGAAAATTAAGACAAAGAAATACCATGTCCTCATGAGCGCGATTTCAAAACATTAATCTGTCCTCGTAAAAAAGGTGACACAAAGTTACTAATCCATAACGCCAACGATGAGATGAAATGTGTATGACCGGGCTCCAAGGGCAAACAATATACATGAACGTTGTACATGTACGTGCCCGCCCACACGTACATGTACATGAATGCTGTCTAGGTTAGCACGTGACCTCGTCCGACAGTGAATCACTGTATGACACAGCTGCGTACAGTTCTGAATTCTTGGTATTTGATCGTCGTCAGTGTAATCGAGCAACTACCATCGAATGAGCCTCACAACATTGCGAACATCGAGTGACAAAGTTGTATAATCATCACTAGAGAAGGTCGGATGATAGTTTGGACAAAATGACACGCCACTTAAGGTCTGTGTTTATGTCGTTGATGCTGTTTGGGTGAGTTTCCCCGTGTTGTTGCAATGTGTGAACTCTTTAGTTGTAGCTCGGAAAATCTATTACCAAATTGGCGAGGCATTTGCCAACATTCGTTTCTTGGGATGTCTCTTTATCTTAGTGATTTCCTTTGCTCTTGGACCATCAACTAAATTTAGTTCTGACATTGCTTCGAATGCACCCCTGTTGTGCCGCAATGATCCTAGTTCTGTGAAGTGTATATTACTTGTCTGCGCTGTCGACGTACTGATTTGTCCTTTGCCGGAATATGGGCTCCGGCTCTTTGTAACCAACTGAACTATTACATTTTATGTATACTTGTTTTCATCAAGAGAAACCTGACGGAAAGTATTGTTAGTTTACTTCTTTGTTTTCTTGATGTAATTTCTAGTTCCTCCAGCAGTTTTGAAATTATCGGAGTACTTTATTTGGAAAGGATGATACAATGATAATGTCAACGACGTTTGCTGCGTACACAGTGTTCCCCCCCCCAAAAAAAGCCACAAAATGTTACCCCCTCTCCCGTCTAATAGAAGACAACTGCATCATGACCGAACAAAGGGGACACGAAGTGAGTCTGTTGATAAACAAGGCGGACCGGGAAATGGGAAGAATGTGGGTATTCCCCGTCATAAATCGGATCAATGACCCACTGAAATGGACCTCCATCCGAGTGGCTCTACACGGTCACCTTATACAAGCCACCGGCAAAATGGTCGTGCCAGGTGCACCCAGGCACCATTTATGTAAAGAACCAATAATAATAAATGAATTATGAAACAAATATGAAGTCCACCGAACTGTACAATATCCACGCATGCGCACAGTTTAAAGAAGCAAGGTCGGCACAGATTGCATTGTGGTCAGCAAAGCACGATTTGAGAAACCTTGAAAGGAACAAAGATAAACTTGTTAAGTCCCATTCCTACAAAGCATAGACGTCTATTGTGTTCAATCATTCATTGGTATATGCCCTATTTACTCCATGGTGCACAGTCAACAGGGCATCACGTGGGCGATTCGTTCCTGGCACTAAGCAAGTACAGAGTTTAGCCCACCTAATTGAAGAACAGGGCCCACTGGACAATGTTACCTAACTAGGGTTATGCTTAGTACTTCCCAAAAGTGAATCATCGATTAATCAACGATATATATACAAGTAAAAACTTATTACTCCACAGGTGATGAAACACTTTGACACTTTGATAGTATCATCAGACATGACACCGGGGAAGCAGTGCACGAACAGAAATTACCACTTTCAAGATCAAGCTTGTCGCTTTGGAACGACCAAGGTGAGTTCAGAAATTTGTTAACATCGCATAAATTTATTGCTGATATGTCCTATCCATTCAAGCTTGAAATGATAATATCGAATCCCGCTTTATAAATAAAACTTCGCAAATCTAATGCAAAGTCATTTCAGGAACTATATGCCTTGCTCTGGAACATTATGAACACATGACTACTGCCGGTTTTTAAGCGTTGTGGCCGGCTAACTTACACAAATCCAGAATTTTCGATGTCCGTGCTTGTTTGCTACTTGGAAAATGCTTTCCAGAAAGCTACAAATTCCGCATATATTTTTAGTTGCTAGAATATGGTCTGAATAACATTTTCAACTGCCGTGGATGTTGCTTGATTGACAAAAAAGCTTGCTTTGGCATTCAGAACTCGTTTGGCAGGGCCAACTTTACCCAACTGTATCGCCCCTGGAAGAATTTATCTGACTCTTGGACACAACAGGAAAACAATTCAATCAAACGCAAATTTTAGGGGGAACGGTTAAGTGAATCATTTGCTTTCTTTCGAAACATAAGATAAACAGATACCCCCATCCCTTTCCCATCCCAAAGTTTCGTCCTAATGTTTTCGACGGTCAGGGCCTTGCAATGCAATCAAGTTATCTTGTAATTTTCTCTTGTACATTGTAGGACCATGGATTCCTCCATGATAGGGCAAAAGCAAGTTGCATTAAGTAATCAAATTCAATCTTCCTACAAGGCTGCTAAGAAACGGTTCCCCCTTCTCACACTACGGACTAGGGGGAGGTTTATTGGGAAATAATTTAGAATATCCGTGTTCAAAACGGATCCTGCATCGTCCGTATCACGACGCACTATCGCCATCTACACGTCCATAAAAGCTCACAACGATGACTACACGAATTAAAGGGATTTTCAATCAGCGACTTATAAGGAGGATTGTGTGTCTTCTTTATAACGACAAAAAATACCTTCGCTAATTTGAGTAAACGTTTGAAAATGGAAAGAAATGAAATCACTTGTCTGCGTAAAACAGAGTAATTGTGTTCTTTTTCTTTCGGTTAATAACAAAATGTATTTGGCCGTGCAGTTTCCATTAATTGACATGCCAAAGGTTCATGGCTTATCGTTGTTGGGAGAGCACATCCGGGTTTAGTGGCCTGGCCTTTATTTAATATGTGGACACACGGAGATTGAAAGAAATAATTTGCTCCCCAATTCAACTGCAATTTAACCTTTGAAATTTTGACAGTCGTTTAATGTTGTGTGTTACGTATAGTGTGTGTTATGAAGAAAGGTGTTTGCGCGCTCGCTGAGAAAGTTGCACCAAACAGGTGCAGCCGTGGTATTTTCGGGTTACATCGTTATCGATCTCAGTTGGGCCCATTATCACAGAAATAAATTGACCAAAAGCAAAATAGAAATAATGCATTTTCACTGAACTCTAAAATGGATGCCAATTTCAAGGGAATTATGCCAGGATAAATCGTTTGCCAATAAATACTGCAGATATCGTGATCTTGTATGAATTTTCAGAACCAAAATGAAGCCACCATCCTCCCTTCAAAATATAATAGCGCTGATATTTCTGTTCAGAAAGACTTCCACAAAATTCGAAATTCTTTGCTGATGATCCATCCGAAGTTTTATCTACACGTTTTAATATCAGCGTGCGAACTGGTACTCAGTCAATTTGGCGCATGGAGATCTACACATTGGGTGGGTGCTGTAATTCACTGGTTACCAAACGTATCAATTCGTACTCCGATTCAATGCGCTACATTGTCATTTTGCAACAAAATACACGGAAAAGATGACACGGCCCTGTCGTGCGAACGTTTACGAAATTATGAACTGTCGTTTCATCAAGTTTTGTTTGATTTTTCGTTTGCACCGCTGCCAAGGTGGATATCTTGTCTCCCACGGATGTCAGGACGTCGGGGAAAATGGCGCAGTTTGCTGTCAGTAGGACAAACCACCAGCTGGTGGAGCGACATCGGCCAGGGATCGAGGCGGAGTTCCGGGTAGCTGTGCAGCTGAGCAGTTACGCAGAGCCCCAGCAGCAGGCGGGGAACGCGGCTCGCTTGGCCGGTGGCATCGATGAGCTGGACTCGGCCGTTCATGTGGGCGGCTTACCACCGACGGACAGATTGTCAGAGCAGGTGTGGGTGGAGATTGAGGGGGATCCCGCTAGAACTGCTCAAGCAAAGGTAGGACAGTTTGAAGAATTTTTTTTGTACAACCAAAAATTAGTTGTGATAACATGTTTAAACAAGTAAAATAGGTCATAAAATGTGTGCAACTGTGCATTGTGTTGCTTCTCAACTTTCTGACCATTTGATTTATTGCAACCTGTGAATTATTATTAATATAAAAATATTAAATTAAGTATGATTAAATTTTCAGGAAGGGTTCCATATTTGGACGCCAGTAATTAGCCATTGGAAAGTAAAAACATGTCCAGAAAAGTTCAATTTTGGAAGAAAAAACCAAGTTGTTTACTTAGAAAACACAATTTTTTAGACCAGTCTCATAGGGTTTGTGCACAGTGTCAAGTGGTGTCCGTATATGGAGTTCTTTCCAAATTTTCCTCATCCTTAATAAGTTATGGGAATTAGTTATCGGTGTGGGGAATTTGCCCAAGACCGAGGCCTACGATCTATGTATTTTGAAATTATTTTGTCATGGGTTAATTAGTGCAGTATTATTCAATAGACTAAGAAAAATTTTTATTATGAAAAAGCACATTTCCCAGAGCAGGGCCTTCATCTCACTCAGTGCAGGCATGTCAGGTTTCGGAAAGAGTTCCATATACCGACGCCACTTGACACCCTGTGCACAAATACTATGGGACAGGTCTGAAAAATAAGTAAATGACTTGTTTTTTCCCTCCTAAATTGAATTTTACTGGACATTCATTTGCTTTACGATGGCTAATAGGTTACTGTAGGGAATAATTACTGGCGTCCGTATATGGAACTCTTTCCCAGGTTTCCTCTGATCTGCTGATTTCCTTGTTTTTTTTAATGTCTTGCATATGCCATTGCAACTTGGAAAACACTGTCTTGTGTGGTTTTGGATTTCCCCTATTTTTTTTAAAGAATTTCCTTTGCATGCTTGATCTTAATGACAGTAAACGATGTTGGTCACTTTGCCTATGTACCACTTTGCCCATTTTTGACTCTGTTCAATTGCCACTTCATGCATCACGGGCCACTTTGCCCACGTTTACTTCTTGTCCGTGCAGAGTACCAGCTAAACTCTAATGATTTAATATCACATTATCCAACAAGTATCTTTTGGATACAGTACATGTACATGTATGCAAAATTAATTATTTACTGGCAGCTGAAACAAATTCATTTTTTTAAAACTCTGGTACATGACATATACCGGTACGTGTATGTGTCAGTCTTACCAGTGTGGCATTGTGTTTCCGTTGGTTTATCTAGGCCTCTTGAAGAATGCGGTTGTGTTCATCTTTGTCTCATAAATGCAAAAAAGGATACTCTGTCACTTTTTTGGAGGGCGTTGTGTTGGAGTAGGAGCGTGGAATGTTGGTTATTCCATGCTTAAAGTCTAAAAATGATATTTATGTCTTAAGAGAAGAGCACATGGGCAAATTTGTACATTGGTTAAGTTACAAATGAGCAAAGTGGCAGATTGTTGAAGTGACTAATGGCGAAGTGGTACATGTAAATGGGCAAAGTGGTAATGGCAAAGATTAGGAAAACATGAAGGGTTGGGTCTTGGTACGTGTCCGTGTACTCTAGGACTGCCTGGTAAGTCAAGATCTTAAGTATTTCACTAGTTTCATTTGAGGCTTCAATTCAATTTTCACAGTTTTTCTGCTACATTTTGCGCTGAAAGATGAAGATTAGGGATTTCAGTTTTAGAGCCTGAGATTAGACTGGCACCAGCCAATAAGTGAATGATGAGGGATAATTAGCAGGTTGTTTTATGCACCGGTCCATTGTTTTGCTTTCCACATTTTCACTATCTTAAGTTTTTACTGTCATGCTAAGTACTGAAAGGGCAACATTTTGGGTAAAGTTTTTTTTCCAACTTGTCATTGCCAAGTGATGAACTCTGCCATTTATTCTGGAAGTTTGAACTAATACAAGTACCGGTAGTTGGCTTTCCAGACCAGAGGAAATCTGTCATTGTTTGCCATTAAAACATTGTACATACATGTACAGAACTAAATTCACAGAAAATTGAGTTGGTTCAGTGTTACATGTATATGTGTTTGAAAATGAGGAAATAACTTTACAGATCTTGCATCAATCGCACCTGAAGAGCTGGAATGCTCAGGATGTATATTATATTAAAAAATGCTTTGCCCCCTGCTGTCCTTCATTTTGTATATTTTTCCTTGAATTTTAGTAAAAATTGCTTCTTAAAATGCATTGTTGAAATGTGATTGTGCAGCTTTGTAGTTATGCCCTTCAGAATTCCCAATGTTGCAAAAGCATAGCATGAACATCAAACTTCATTTCCTTACATAAGATTTTCTCTATGAGAAACCTTTATCAATTACATGCAACATTTTACAATTTCAACCTGCAAAGTCATTCCAAAATCCAATAAGAAAGAAAAATTGATTTGACCCCCTGAATCTGACAGTGTGTGATATCTCAAGTGCAAATGAATGCAACTGTAGGCTTTGAACTTCTAAAAAAATGACCAAAAAACTGTTTTTGTCAACATCATTATGTGCTGCACATCCTGTGTTAGTACAGTATGAAGAATCTGGGCTTAACTGCCTTGATTTGGTCAGCCATATATCTCTAATTACCGTGGACTACCGTTAGTACATCTGCTGTGGGTGTACAGATCCTTTCACAGGGATACCTGGTGATTGCATAAATTCTCAAAGCTTGCCTTATTCTGGGTGGGTGGATCCAAAATTTCAACGTAGGAGTCAGCGTATAAATATTGATGCATAGTATAGTATGAGGTCCTTTATTGTGCAGTTGATGTAGCAAGAGTAGTGCATACATGCATGTACATGTACATGTATGTATTTACATGTTCTTTACAAATATACCTGTACACTATCATTTAAAAACAAAAAAACACTGGAAATATGCAGTTCCACTATTTACGTTCTAGAGCAACCTGGAAATGGAGGTTAAATCACTCAGGTCATGAACTCTTGGTAAGGTCACAATAAGAGCTACATGAATGATAACACAATCATTGGATGGTAAATAGGGGAAAGAAAACTTGACAGTGTGTGTCAAAATGGCACCTGCAGTGTTAAGGAATGTGCAATAGAAATTTAAAGATGTGAAATTCTGAATTGTCTGACGTAATAGTTCGAGGACAGTTGGGTGATAAAAGGGTGAAAAGTTTAGGAAAATGAGCAAGTCTACGTACAAGACAAAGATCTGGCATTTGTGAAAACCATGGTAACTATCCAAAACAGAAGTCAACAAATCTGAAATGTCTAGCATACCAGCAAGGGATGTTATGCACAAGTACAGTGATACTGCAGGGCAAGCCAGGTTTGACAGTTGGAATGACGTCAAGGAAAACGAAGCGTATTGTTGTGAAAGGAATTCATTGTCAAAACGCCCACTGTGACCTTGATGTTGGGGAAGTTTATTTCGCTGTGTATTTCAGAAACCTATGGTTACACTTGAACATATAAATGCTCTTGGGGTTTGTGTAAAGCTTTAAAGTAAGCTACATTGACTGTGTGTTCACTTAGTAGACCAGGATTCCAACCATTTGAAGTGAGCAGGTTTAACTTTTGGAAGATGAAGTTTTCCAAGTTGCAGCACAACATGGTGAATACCATGGACTTAACTGGTGGAAGTTGGCCATTTAGAGATCAGGTATGTGTAGGTGTGATGTTTAGAAAAATTAAAGCAATTTCTGGCTTCACTGCTATTAATAGTTAATTCAGAATATGTGTAAGTGAGTGGACAATAAGAAAGTTCCGTGTTTGAAATGAAAGTAAAGTAAGTAGATTTTTATTTTCTTTACAATGCATAGCTAATGTGAAATGACCTATGATAGGCCCTAAATACCAAAAAGGTAACTGCTACAAGTTCATCTAACATACACACATGGCCAATGTTTTCATACCGGAATAATAATATATATGTAGCATTTCAAAGGTTGCAATTTTTTCCCTTGAGTAGAAAAGTTGGAGTTGAAAGTCCTACTTACACAAGATTCAGTGGCTGTCGCTCACCCTCTCAAAACTCCTAGAAATCTTCAGAAACAGTTACTTTTTGCCGTAGAAAAAATTTTGAAGTCAAAGATATACATTTTTTTAATTATTAATTAAGACATTTTTAGACCTTATTGAAAACGTATTTGTTCAAGCAGGCCTTCTATTAATTCCTAAGGGTGTCGGTGTGAAGGGATCACAGGGTGCTCGATGTTAAGAGGGTGCGTACATTGTCTGCTTGTCAGAATTCTTTTGTGAGGGGGTTGTGTGTTGATTCTTTTGATTTGAGTTTCATCGAATGTTGTAATACTTCTGAATTGATTTTTACTTTTTGTTTTATTAATTTCTGTTAAATATGATTTCATGTTAATGTTTTATAGAAAGGGGAATTGAAGATACATTACATGTATATGTGTATTATAAAATTTGCGCTATATACAATTGTAAGTCAATAAATTATTATTATAATTAAGTGATTTTTTGAGCCAGTGGTGTATTTGGAATGCCAACGCTTTTGAAAAAAATACAGAGGAATGTTGTGCTTTTCCATTCTTTCATATAGCTGCACACCTTTGCCACATTTAAACTCTGAGTGAAAGTATTTCATTGGGCAAATGTTGTGTCCAGGCATTGTTCAAAATGAAAGAGATTTATTGTCTGTCACCAAACTTTCAGTATCAATACAAAAGGACTTGCAAAGGACCTGTGGTCACATGATGTTGATCAAAGCTGCCAGCCCATTGCACATGAATAAAACAGCCACAATAAATACCCATCATAAGAGCCCCTTGAAAGATTACACCGTCATTGTCTCATCAACTCGGCCTAGGTGGACAGGGTTATGGCATGCAATGTATCGTGTAATAGCAAGAATGGGTCGATTTTTTTCAAGTAACACTGGCCAGGTAATACTCCAAAGTACATGTAGGTCATATTTCCATGCACCTGTTTGTTGAATTTTCAACACAAACATATTTTTGTCCCTGGTTATAATGTAAAAGCAAAGGCTATCCATTCCATCACTTGCATTCATAATACAAATTATCATCAACTTTTGTGTGAGTGAAGACATGGAATTAAAAAAAAAATTCAAGGCATTTTTTTTCTTACTGGAAAAGTAAATTTGGTCATTAAATTGTTCTTTCAGGGTATATATAATACTGTCAGTTTCTAAATTGAGAAAGTGTATAAAAGAACTCCGTGTTACTCTTTACAGCTTCAGTAATTTTTAGTCACCGTTTGGTGTTGTTTGTAAAATCCGGGGCCAGTCGTTGTCCCGTGACTGTGTTTATTCACCCACTGACCTCACTTCAGCTATTGTTATCAGCCAGTGATGGTATTCACCCATTCACCTTGACGGCAGAGTACCTTGCTCGCCCAGCGCACATATCAGTACAACTGACAAGAAGGGTGCCAGCCTGTCTAGTATGACGTCAGCAGCCTCTGAAGCCGAGTCACAGTTATTACCGGGGATATGTATTACTCGTTGCAGTTCTATATTTAACCACGCTTCACTTTCAGTTTCCTGTGTCATGTGTTACGTTTATGGGGATCCAATATAAATGTTTCCTCAGCCATCAAAACTTCAGAAGTTTGGTGGAAGGTGGGAAGTTAATTCCGTGGGCTTATTTGCGTGTTGCAGCATTCAAAGTCCATTTCAGGCATGGCTCCGTCTAAAAGGGTAATGTGAATCATTGATAACTTTATCAGATTAAATTCTGTGTTAATTGGTCTTCTGCCTAGTTATAGAAATAAACAAATGTTGGAACGTCCACAGTTTTCAGATTAATTTACACCACGTTACCTGTCTTTGACAGGAAGAGTTGCTCACATTTTAGGGAATCGTTCATTGTATTATAACATGAACTTCAAGATTTGTCAATTAATACAATTTACTTCATTCCTGATATGTTGGCTTACGTACATGTACTCTTGCATTGTGCGTCCTTTTCGTGTATGTTTGACCAAGGTACATCCATCCAAACCATTCCTTCCTCCATTTTATAGGATTTTATAGGATTTTGAAAGATTGAGGTAGAGCCTTGCCATTATTACTTTTACACCTGTACCGGTACATGTATGGGACTTCATTCTCCTTGAAAGTTAAAGAATAAAGAATTTGCCATTGGTGTTTTGGACAGTGGTTTTTGAAGATTTAGGAAGGTCTGTACATGTACATGTACCGATAGTTGGAATGCCTAGAGGTTAATTGGGTGACTTTTTTATTCATTGTTTTTCTGGAGGTTTAGGGTTAGGACTGCAATGGAAGGAGTTATAATGGGCTGTAATGCATAGTGAGCAGTACTCTATGGTTCTACATGTTTTAAGAGCATGGAAAGTGCTAACTACATACAGGTGCATGTACATGTACATGTCCACTGAATGCATACACCTGTACATGTACGTGTACATTTGCATGTACATGTACACACAGGGATAGTGGGTACACCATACTGTGTACATCCTTGTCATCATGCACCACTTCCTATGATAAGTCATACATATGTATGGGTACTGTACTGTACATTGCTGTGTTCAAGCTGAGGTGAATTCGCAATGTATACATGAACATGTACACACACACAACACCCACAGTCCACCATACTGAAGACAGACTGTACAGTACAGGGTCACTGGGGAATTCCCCGTTGGTGATTGTGTAAGCCCCTCGCAGCGTTCAACTATCCCTCGTGCCTATATATAACCTTTACCCACCTTGACAACAGCAGACTTGTCTAGCGACAGTTCAGAACATGTCCATGGATTCTTGTCTCATTGGAAATCCTTTAATGTTTTGGTGTCGAGCAAGCTGGGGAAACATGCCCAGGGAGCAGGAAGCACGCCCCTGATCTTAAAATTACAATTTGGGATTCCCAAAACCTGGGCTGTTGCATCGGTATATATTTGTGGAGATTGTGTTCAGTGGAGAACAGTCATTTTGTGGATCCCAGGGAGGAACACATTACATGTTAGCCTGACAAAGCTGTAGTGCACATTTGATTATGTTTGATATGGAGAATGAGGTAATCTTTGAACTTCATGAATTTAATCACAAGGTGAGTCAGGTGGTAGAGTTGCTTTAGACGTGTACAGTGCAATTATTTACTTTTGCAGAGAAGGGGTCATAAAAAATTTAACATTGGAAAAGTAAAGCAGTGTGATGAAACCTTTTGTAATGTGGCAAAATAGAATTGAAAGCAAAATTGTGAGGTGTGGTGTAAAGTCCATGTTCTCTGCAGGCCACCATAAACATCCAAGAAAGTTCCACTTTAGCTTGTTAGAGGTCTTGATTTGAAATTGACTTGAGGTGATAAAAACAGATGACTAACCCTGAGTTGACTTCCTTTTCGTCCCATTCAGGATTACATTCTTAACCTGTGCCAAGGGTCGGATGAACTCAGGATTGAGGAGAGGTTACCCCCTGGCTTCGGAGACTTGCTAGAAGGCAAACTTGATGGCATTTCTGCAGAGACTCAGGCCAAGATAGACCGGGATGGAGATACTCTTATCCTGCGTGGTGATGAGACACATGTGGCAATGGCCAGATCTCTTATTGACCAGGAATACAAAGTCTTGAAACAAGAGAGAGAGGACTACTTTTCCTCTGAGAGCAACCTAGATGACCAGACATTTGGTAGATCACACATGCCATCCCCACAGCACACTTCATTAAAGAATAACTTTGACTCAACAGATTCATCCGCCTCAAGATTTTGTATGACTGGGCAGAATAATTGGACCATCAGTGGGGACACTGTGAGCAACTTGCCTGATATTTCACTCTCTTCTGGAGTCGGGAATACAGAGCAAGCACGGCACTCACCTAAACTTATCCCACGGAGTGTGCCCGTAGCCCCACAGACCGCAGAGACATTTACTCCAAGGGATGACAAGACAGCAAGTGTTGTCAGCAGCATGCAGAAACTAGGCTTCCCTAAGGAGCAGGTGCACTCAATCTTGCAGCAGCTGGGTCCAAACGCAGACCACAATGATATCTTGGGTGCCCTGGTCAACCAGCGGCCCACCAAGACTGACTTAGAGGAAGTAGAGGAAACTGGGAAGGAGGAGACAAGGACATCAGGGGACATGAGTGACGGGTTGCCCTCAGGTGACGGAGCCGAGGATGAGTCCAACAATCTCAGACCCATCATCATTGATGGTAGTAATGTGGCAATGAGGTAAGCACTAAGTTTATAAATCAACGCCAGTTTTTTAAATGTTTGCCTGCGAGCCTTGAAACCCATGGCGTGATAGGCAAGTTTGTTCCTGGAGTAAACTTAACAAAAAGGTTTCAAAAACATAAGCTGAGGAAAATGTACAGTTGCTCCCCTCAAAGGCATCCTTGGAGCCTCAACACTCGTTAGATGAGTCTCATCTCACTTGTTCATTTTCATCTAAACAAGAATACAACAAACACAGTTGTAAAAGTCGAGACCATTGGCATGGTAAAGATGTTTCATTGAAACCTTCCTGGTACAACATAAATGCACCATTTTTTTTCTTTCCCTGTCTGTTGATTTTTCCAACAGTTTTGGTAACAAGGATGTTTTTGCTTGCAAGGGCATCCAGATAGTTGTTGACTGGTTCTACCGAAGGGGACACACAAAGATCTATGTGATTGTTCCATCCTGGAGGAAGGAAGCCTCTAAGCCAGATACGCCAATAACAGGTAAGCCTCAAATTCCATTGAATTTGTCACTGTTTTTATTTACCTGTTGAAATCTGCCTGAAAGATTTATGCATTTGGTAAAACGAGCAACTAAGGGACTGCACTCATTACACTGTGCATTACATATTCATGTGTAATTATAATGTATAAATTATTTATTGCTTTATATACGCACATGTGTAATGGAATTTATACACTGTACTATAATTATATTGCACTTTCATGTTCCAAAAAACTAATAATGTAACTGCACTCATTGAAGTTTCCAGTGTCCAGCTGGTACCAACCAGCGGTGTCATATTAGTCACTTGTTGGTTCAGTCGGGTCAGGACTCATTAATGTTGTTGGCCTTTCATGAAGCAATAATTTCAGACCTAAGAATATGAACAAGTGTAATTGTGTTTCATATCAGATGAAGTGTCTGCAGAAAGTGCGGACTGTTTCTAAATAAGGAATTTTAACTTTTTTTTTCATAATGGAAGAAGACATTGACCTCTACATATTTCTTGATTGTCATAATTTGTTTCATGGTTGTTATGATTGTTTCCCTGTGTAATTTTACAATTCTGTCTAACCAATCATGATTGGGATAGCATCTTGATATCAAACATGCACTTCCCACTGCAAACTTCGTTTTTCTTTGCCAACATTTGCCCAAAAGGAACAACTCTGAACCTTTTCACTGTGTGCGCCTTGCTCCATGCCAGAAACTGTTGGCAAGCCAGTTTGTTTTGACATCATAAGCTATTTTGAGTTGCTTGAGATTTGATAACACTCATTTACAGAAATGCAGACAGGAGCAGGAAAGTAAACGGAACTGAAAGTATTGGGCTTTTGTTTTGAATGCAAGTTGCCATGGTGACACCATGGTGGTTGGTAGACAATACATCATTCTCAGTCTCTCCAGTGACGGGATTTCCACATTTGAGTTTACTTGGGTTTTTGTTTCTCTCTTTTGCCATGTTCATTCCGAGTGTCTTTATCTTTTTTGCCATCTTCGTACGAATGTCTTTAGATTTTTGCCATGTCCGTACCAAATGAAAGACAGCCAAACGTGGTACATGTAGTTGGGTTATTGCGGGATACCTAGCTGTACCTATTCTGCAAATTTCATTGTTACTTCATTTTTTAAGCCGGTTTACTTGTAAATAATGCAGAATTGTAGATGTCACGATTATATTTCAAATGTATAAAGTGCCTAAACTTTTGGATTTTTGTAATGAGCAGTAAATCTTGTTGCTAAGCCAAATTTCCTCAACCTTGACCGCGCTTGTTCTCACTTGTTCTCACTGTTGACTGTACAATGCCTAGTGTGCTACACAGAACACCCCCCCCACTGCAGCCCTGGGTCCTGACAAACAATAAACCCACAATAAAAGAGGGACCTGATTCTGACAAGAAAACCCAGAAAAAACCTGACTTCCCTTGACTAACCTGTACAGTTCGCTATCATGAACATTGTGAAAACCGCAATGGTTGAAACCTCAAAAGCAGAAGCCATTGAGCTTGTCAAAGTTCTTCTGGTACTGTTGTCAGTGTGCCATCATTGTCAAGAGGAGTTTCTTGTTAAGCATTTCCTTATTTGGAGATTTTTTGGCATGGATGAGCAGTTTCACCGTAAAAGGATATCCATGTACCAAGTATCCAAACACTTACAAGTCCAAAGATTAGTCAACTTGGATTTAAAAACCACGGACACTTCCTCAGAATATGGTACATGTACTGCCACAGTCTTTATTCTGAAAAATGCAGTTTAGTCATTTTATAACAGAAGGAAGTAATATGTATATGCCAGCCTTCATTACATAACTTGCACCTAAATGCTTGCTTTAAAAACCAGATTTCAGGGTAAATCAAACCACAGTATGGTGAACAGAGGGCTAGGTTTTCAGCTTTCAAATGTCACGTGTGTGCTTCTTGTTAAATTTAACAGTACATATATCTACATTTCGTCTTTTTTTCTTTGTTGACTGTTCAGATCAAAACATCTTGATCGACTTGGAGAAACGTAACTTTGTTGTCTGGACTCCATCCCGACGCATCAACGGTCGCCGCATCGCCTGTTACGATGATCGCTACATTGTCAAGGCAGCAGAACAGGAGGATGGCATCATTGTCTCTAACGACCACTTCCGAGACATTCAGAATGAGAAGCCTGAATGGCGTAAAATCATTGATGAACGACTCCTCATGTACTCATTCGTCAATGATCAGTAAGTCCAATATATGGGCTTCCTTCTTTACATGTCAGGTCATTCCGTCATTTTTCCGTGGTCATATCCAAGTATAAATCGGGGATCAGAGCTTGCATTTGCTGCACCAAAACAATGATTCTAATACAATTTGTATGACAAGTGTAATTTATTTACAACACAAATTGTTCACTCATGTTTCCCTCTGACACAGTTTCTATGATTGGATTTTTGTCCTGGTAGGCTCTTGGTGTAGTTGGATGTGAAGAAAGAAATAACAGTGCCTGGTGCTGTTATTTCTTCATGTAAATGAACAAAAATAATCGGATGTTGGCCTCTGATTGAGGACCTGTAAACAGTGGTTGCTGATATTACCCGTGTGCTGGGCCAAAAAGAATTTTTTGTAAAGTAGTGTGTGCCTGAGGGAAGTGCTAGAGGGTAAATCCCTGCGGGGTTTTTTTTTTTTTTAGTGTGAATCAGTCCACAACTATACTTGGCTCTCAGCCCTGTCATTGTTCCATCGTTTCCTCAGTTTCCATGTATGCTGCTTGAGTTGGACTTCCTGGTTTGGGTTACCCAACAGCAAAAAGGGGAATGTTTGAAAGGGGAAAAAATGATTAGGTGTGCAGGGAGTGGCAACCTCACAAATATCGACAGTAAAAAGATTAAGAAGATTGAAGAATTTGTATGTTGGCAACGTAGAAGATAGAAGAGATAAAGAAGATACAGTTCTTTATTTTGAAAGAATATTCCCATGAGTTGGACACTTTAAACCGCTTTTCTCTTCATGCATGGAGAATTCCACGTTGGTGTATTTATCCAGAAACACTTCCTTGTTGATGTGAATTTTTACTCTGGAAAATCAATTCAGTGAAATAAAAGTTCTTGACCTTTCAAAGCGTGTTTAGTGCTATTGTGCATACCCAGCTACAGTTTGTGGCAGAATTCTATGCAAAGGCAAAGAAAATCATCTAGTGTTGCCTTCTACTTATTTAATGCTGAAATAATTTTGTTGGCCGACGTTTGATTTCAGAGACCTTTGTTTCCCTACACTTGAAGTGAAAAGGTTTAAAGCAGTCCCCAAGAATTTCTGACCTTTTGATTAAAATATGTGTTCAGTCATACATAATTCTGTTCTGAACGTCTGTTTCCTGTCTGTTAGAGCTGTTTGGTGTAGGTTTTCTCATTCCTTCAACAAATAGGAACTTTCTAATTTTGTATTAAACTTCAGAGAATAGTAAAAATTGTTAGCTGTACCAACTGCCGGATGAGATTAATCATGTAAGCTGATAGACATCACTGCTGTACACTAAATCCAACTTTGGGTCTCACTTTTCATTGTAGATTCATGCCTCCAGATGACCCACTCGGTAGACGTGGTCCGAGCCTGGACAACTTCCTGCGTATGAAGCCCACAATGCCAGACCACCTGCCCCAGGCCTGCCCCTATGGAAAGAAATGCACCTATGGCAACAAGTGCAAATATTACCATGCCGACCGGCCCAACCGTCCAATGAAATCCATCAGCGAGACTCTGAAAGAACGGGACAAGAACCGCAAGGAGAAGGCCAAGTTAAGCTCTGACCGTAGTGGTAGCCCAAGGTTTTCCTCCGTTGCATCTGCACCCATTCCTGGCTATCCATCACAGAGGGAGACCTCCCCAATGCCTGAATGGCACACAACTCCCCTCCCCGGTCCTAGTACCCAACAGTTAAGCCCTAAAAGGGGTGGACGAAATGCCTCCGAGTCAAGTGCCTTGCAAACTAACTCTGGTTCGCCTGGTTCCCCGCATCATTTCCAGACAGTAGAAGTCCCATCCCACTCACCATACTCAATAGCCACAGATGAGACATTCGGGACACCAGACTTGCAACAGTATCAGCAGAGTGCAGGAGTAGCCCAGCTTCATAGTCAGGTGTCATTGCAATCTTTGAAAAGTCCCCCATTTGGACGAGCAAGCCACACTGCACCTCAGCAGGCTTTCTGTCAGCAAACAGATAGAAAAACCCAACGGGACATTTTCACAATGCCACTGCAAAGATACCCTTCCCCAAGTCCAATAGAGAGGGGGTATCCCCAGAGAGAGGAATCCCTCATTGCTAAGAGAATGTCCATGCCTCAACTCATGTATGGATCTGGTGAATCATTGAGTCACACTCCCTCTGGAATGGGTTTTGAGAGGAGGCCATCACACAATGACCTGGTGTCAGACTTTCAGTGTTTGAAGCTCCAGGATTCCAGGTAAGATATCACCATTTCTTAAAGAAATTTTGCAGAGTTTTTCAAAATAAAATTGCATCACACATTTATGATTTCTTGAAACTATCATGGTTTTTTCTAACAAAGAAATACCAGCCTCAGAGTGACCAGTACCACAGTCTGATCTGAAAAGAAATTTAAACATCTAAAAATCAAGTAAATTTGTACAATTTGTTGTTGCAGTGGAATGCAGTTATCAAGAGAACCACAACCGAACTATGGATACAGGCAGTCACCACGGCAATATCACAGTGGAGAACCATTACCAGGGCTCCCTCAACCTCTTCCTAACAACCACCATGGAGATGTCAGTCAGGTTTGTCTAGAAACCTACAATTGCCAATTGTTGTTTAGGTTTTTTTAAAGAGTTTAGTTGTGAGAAGTTCAAAGTCAGATTTAGTTTCATTGTGTTTAGAAACCCTTGATTCTCTTTTATGCTACTCTGAATAATGGAATAAATACGTGCTTGGCCGGTCTTAAATTTGCATTTAAAACTGGCCAAGCACATAGTTATTTCCATTCATAAATACCATTTTCGTCAGCCAGTCGAAAGAAGTCAATATATGATGGATTTCCAACAATCTTGTTCTAGAAGTTTACTTTCATTTTCCTGAACACCCCCGTCTATTTTATGGTATGTTCTTTTTACAAGTTGTCCGGTAGAATTTCCTTGTATGGACTTGGCGTGCGTGGCAAGTCATGTGTACACAGACTCTTGGCCAATCAGAATCAATTAACTGTCTCGTATCCAGGTGCCAGTGTGTGATTTACTCAGCGGGCATTATCTCTTCGCAGCGGGCATTATCAAATGTTAATACATGGTCAAGTTTCATGTTATTAAATAGAGAGACTGTCTGAGGTATTTATGAATTTATATTTAAAGTAGTTCCCATTGGTTGAGCTCAACGAAAGTACAACTTTCATAAATGTAACAGGTTTTAAAGAGTTGCCCATTCATTTACTGTCCTTTCCTTTTGGAGTGAATGTGTGAAATTAAAATGAGTTTGGTTGCATTTGTTGCACAGGGTACCAGTCAACCCATGACCTATCACAGCAGTGACATCTATGCTGCCCAGCGTTCATTGCAAAGTGGCATCGGCTCAGATCAGATGATGTATCCGCCTGCCCACCACACCTCACCCCCAAGGTACCACCCACAGAACGAACTGACTCCCCAGCCGTACTACCCAAGCCCAGGTCCAGTGCCGATGGCAAGTGCATGGCACACCGGCAGCAGTAGCAGATCCACATCAGAAAATGTGCCGCCTCACAGGAACTCGGAGCCAGTTAAGTCGTTTGAGGAACAGCGCAAGTATATTTTCAACAACCTGGCCAGCCGGTTTGGCGTGGACCAGGTCAAAGCAGTCATGCAAAGACATCCGCATGAAACTAATCCCAGTAATCTGATCATGTACATGAACACCAACACTTAAACAACTCACTGCACCTTTAGGCCATTTCAACTGGCCATTTAAGCTCAGTACCTTCAGGGAACACGACTGTTGACCCTGATATCTTGAGTGTTACTGGCCAACTTGCCAAAAGTAAAAGTTGTTATCACAACTGGGAGCCTATTTGTGACCATTGTTAGTGGCTGTCATTTATAAAGAAGGTTGTGGCTTCTAAGCTAGAGCTACCCATTATCAGTAGCCGTAAGTTTAGTAACCGAAGTGTGTCCACTGGCCATAATGACTGGACAGTAGCCACACTGATTCATCAAGTAAAACCTCGTGATTTATCACATATTACTTCAGTGCATCCAGGAGAAAAAAAAAGAAAAGATCTGTAGTGTATTTCTACTTAAGTTCCTTCAAGACAACACTGCCCTGACAATCAAAGCTTAGTGCTGGTTGTGCCAATTACAATGTAAGCTGCCATTAAATTTTAGACATGCTTTCTTAAGAACGTAGATTGTTCCTAGTTCAATGTTTTACATCCTCCTCGCCTGTATTTTTGGCCAAAATGACTGAAAAGTCTAGCACCCGAAACCCTAAAATGCAGCGTGGGACTTAGAACAGGAAACTAAGTGAGTATGCACAGGTTGTATCCAAAGACATGCTGTTTGTCTTGTTTTTTTTTGCGAGTCCACACTGTGACACCACATCCGTAGCATTGGTGATTTCTATCCTATTCACAGATCATATAACAGGAAGTCTGGTCTCTGCCTGTCACCAGCCTACATTGTAGCTTCCACTTTCAGGTTATCAAAAACAGCACGACCACAGGGGGAAAAAAAAGAGTCGGAGCTAAATTAAGATGCAAGGTGGTTTTAGGCACTTTTCTTTGTCAAATTTGGCCACCGTTCCATTTAATACGGAATGGGATTTCTGGACCGGAATTTTAATCATCATCCGTAACCAAACCCATATGGTCAGTGTTTTAAACTGCACAGGAGAACTGGTGAGCCGGTACAGGAAGAAGGAGTCATGAACGGCGGATATTATCAAGAAAAGCTTTTATTTCCTGGTTCTATCATCGCATGTACGTTGCAACCAGTTGTAAAACAATGCAGTTTATGTTCCCTTGAACTTTCTTTAAAATAACCTCAACAATCCTCAAAATTTTTCCCTCATTTTTCATCACTTTCACAGAGACTTGTTCCAATACAAATGAAAATGAAAGTTCTGGGACATGCAGTACAAGGAAATAAGTGATGGCTTTGTTGAAATTTTCAGGGTGGATCCCCTTGTTTGTTGGACGCAGGCTGCATTACTTTCTAGGTCACGTAAAGTTCAAGGAACAGTTGGAATTAATTTCAAAATGATTTGAGCTTTGCAAGGAAGCCATTTGCTGATCTGATTCAGTTATTAAAGTTCATTTTGGTTCAATAAAAAAATTGGAATGGGGACACAATTCAGCAAGAATGAAGCAGTCATGCACTTAGAGCACAGTCCCTTCACCTACAGTAGCAAATGAAATGGCAGTTTGTTTGCATGACTACAGAAACTTCCTGGGTCGTAGCATAGGATTTGCTCTGATCAAATGGTCAGCAATTTTCGAGTGCTTACACAAATCATAATATATGATTATCAAATACAAATGTTTGTATGCAAGATCACTTCATTAAGAAATGAAAAGGAGATAGTTCAAGGTTATAGTTCAGGATTGCTCACATTTACAAGCATCTGAGGAAATCTGGTCCAATCCATTTTGAAGTGTAGGAAGGAAATCCCATTTTCCTTTGTCTCGGTGCAGTGGCAAACAAGTGAATTACAAATTTTTTTTTGGAAATCAAAGCACATTGAAATTCCACGGAATGATTGGCAAGTTTGGGAAAAACCAAGTTTTTCGTTGTATATGAATAAGTATTGCATATCAGATAACGATGATGTACACGTAATGAGATTTCCATGTGTACCACTGTCTCAATCTCATCTCTGTTTTTTACAATGGGTTCACAAGTTTGTATTTGAAAATACAGAAGTTAACACCAATGAGAGACTTTGAGACACTGGTGGCAGCAAACACACTGGTCCTTACTCAAGGTATTGTGCATGCTCAGAACTATGCACACACGCTCAGTACAACATGCACATACTCAGACCTGGTAAAAAGGAGCAGTATGTTAGTCACCAAATGTCTGAACAATTCTAATTAATCATTGTTCATCTATGAAATCTAGAACCAGCACTTGTTCAGAGTTCTTGGTGCAGACCAGAAGCTGATAGAAATCACTTGACACAGTGTACAATTTTGCTGTTTGTAGAATCCTGAAATGCTCTCTCTGGGCCCAGAACATTGGCATGGGGAGAGGGGGGAGGAACACTTGTCAGTCCCCACCCCCACATAGCAACTCAGTTTATTGTCCATTCTTGGGCCTGGCCATTTCATATTTAAGAAACGTTTCTCTTTCTTAGAGATGTCTGCAGGAATCACAATGATCTCTTGTAAGAGCCGTGTCCTCCAGTGTTGCCTTTTTATTCAAGGCCAAGAGTCGTTGAGTGTGATCAGGAATGTACAGTATATTACTGCATCAATGTATATTAAAACGGAGCATGTTTAAGGAAAAAACTGCTAAAATTATAGTAAGGACATATGTCTACTTTTCTTCAACACCCTGTATATTTGTTGGCTGTGCTAACAATAGGGTTCCTAGTTATTAGTTCGTGAAAATTCAGAAGTATTTTTAATTGCAAAGTTTGTACGTTGATGCTAGAATTAATTTAATATCTGTGCATGTTAGGTGTGTGTAATTGATAGCATGTCTGTACAGTTGTGCTCATTTTACGTTGTAACTGCATTTTTTGTAAATACTTGATGTTTTGCCACCTTCTAGAGACCAAGTGTATCACTAGTTTCATTTTTTTGTTGAATTTTCACGGTTTTGTTAAATGTACATTTAATAAAGACCATTGTAATATCTTTGTGCATGACATACTGCCAAAATTTATTGTTTTCATTACAAAAACTAACCAAGGAAATAAAACAAAATGACAATGTACTGAGTGACTTTTCTTCTGTTGGGGGAGGGGTTCTCTTTCCATGTATAATCCAGAAACAGCAAGTAACTTAAACCATATCAAGCCCAACAAGGTTCTAGGATTTCCTGGAGGGTGAATGTTTATACATCAACCTGTCCCGAGACCTAGCTGCCTATTCCTATTTTGAAGAGCTGCATTTGCACTTTGCACAATTTTTTTATTTGAGGAGCCAAATTCTACTGGACAGGTACATTCAGGCTTGCAACTTTCCCTTGGATCAGCTGATTTCCTTGTTTCGCTTCACACTCATGCCATTGAAACTTGAAAAGCACTACAAAGTCTTGTAAAGATTGGAATTTCCTTGTTTTTGTCGAAGTCCAAGTTGCATGCTTGAACATTCTGACAGCTAAAAACCATCACCGTATGCATTATTTCTGAATGATTTTGAAGTGCAGCTTCACTTGGCGATATATCTCTCTCGGTGGACTGCAACAGCTGTCAGATGTTATCAAGGACAGTGGCTTATTTCCACAACAGTCTTGCCAATCGTCTGTGAAGGGAGTTTACTATAGGCCTGGCACGCCTCATCCAAGCTGATGCAGCTGGCAATGTTTGGTCTGTAAGATGGAAGAGAAGGAAGTTGAGAATCATATCCAGGAGGAAGTCATGTGACAGTCATGACTCAAACAGAACGATGGATGATGACTAATACTAGTCACTTCCCTCCACAGATGTAGAACAGCTTGCAAGAAGAGTATACTCCCGCTTCATTTCAGAACCACACATACTCATAAGAGATTTATTCATATGCCTGGTGCTACTGAAAACCTTTCCACTTATTGCTGTCTTTCACCATGAATAGCCTGAAATTCCATCCAGCTTGCAAAAAGGTTATCATTCTGACTGAGCCTCATCAAATTATGGAGCACTATTTCAATTCTACTTGAGGTGCATCTCACCTTAGAACCCCATCTGCAAGTTTATCAATAGCACTTTGAAGAATGTCTGAATTTCATCATGTTAAGGAAATACAAAATGATCCAACTACACGATACAGCAGAAACTAATTAGGCCCACAAAAGGGTAAAAGAAAAACACTGACAACAAAAATCTAGCATCTTAAAATTGGTTGTCAAGGATACGAAGATAACGTCCCAACTGACCACAGGAGAGGTTCCAGACAGCTTCGTTGAGGTAAGACACACTGGCACACCTCATGTGAAGTAGCTGAGAATCAGGAGGATCAATCTATAAGTGAAATTGGAATTGGAGGCTCAATTTATATTGCGATTGAAATATGGTTGTCAGTCATACTCAAGTTTGGCTTGAATGACCCATCTACCCCTACCCCTTGGGCTGAGTTGACCTCATGTTTAACAGGGCTGGTGACCACCACCCAACTCAACTGTCATAATCTGTCCTCTTACCTATAGATCAGTCTGTGATGTGACCTGCCTACCCCTACGGCTGAGATGACCTCATGTTTGAGGCAAGTCAGCTATGATGACCTGTCATATTACCTATAGATCGGTCTGTGATGTGACCCACCTACCCCTAGGGCTGAGATGACCTCATGTTTGAGGCAAGTCAGCTATGATGACCTGTCATATTACCTATAGATCGGTCTGTGATGTGACCCACCTACCCCTAGGGCTGAGATGACCTCATGTTTGAGGCAATTCAGCTATGATGACCTCTCATATTACCTGTAGATCAGTCTGTGATGTGACCCATCTACCCCCTACCCCTAGGGCTGAGATGACCTCATGTTTGGTAGGGAGGGTGCGTAATTTCTTCTGCTTCCTTGGACTGAGTGCAGGGTCCTCCTCATCTTTGGGAAACATACTCACTAGAAGAAAGATTGTGAAACTGCAATAAACGAATCTGATGAAAATTAGCTGCCATTGACATTGTTTGGTGTCACTGTCACTGGGGATTGCCACTTGTGTTTTTCAGTAAGATAACAGGTGTATGGTATGCATTCACTGTCTAGGCTACCCTTACTGTTTACTATCATTGACCCACCTGTCACTCAGTCATAGTCATTGCCATCACCACTGTCATCTCCACAACCTACCCAGCAACAATGACTCATTACCTCCATCGTCAATGATGCAGTCCACACCTAGCCCACCTGTCTCTTCGATACACTGCTGGATCAGAGCGTACTTCTTGCTTTGGTCCGTCTCTATCACTTGGGCTGAGAGGAAAGAATCAACACTACATGTGAAACTGTCTCCATCAAGGAGCTCTGGGATGGGATAGGCTTATGTGCTGCTGACGTGCTTTCTTATGGAGCGAGTGGGGGTCAATGGTCCATTGAGCACCATAGGAATTCACACACTAAAACACAGTGTGGCGTCATCAGTACAGAGGTTTACTGTTCTACATCAAGGACAGGGTTAGATGTAGCACGATAGGCTCGGTATTTTTGAAAGCTCACAGGCAGAAATGGAACCCATAATCCTCTGTCTACTAGATCATAGCTACTGCCAACTATACAAAATAACCTACAAACCGGAAACCAAGTTGACAGTAGATATGTTGTGTCTCTAACTTTCCATTTTACACCAGAGCATTGGTTTGGCATTTCTAACATTTTGTGAAATCTGTATGCTACAATGTTGACCAGGAATGCCGACTACTTATACACTCTTTTGACTACCCAAGTTTAATTTGGTGGTCATGTATCTCAAATAACTGTTTGTGAATCTTACCAAGTTCAGGCTTGAAACTTTCTAGGAAGATGCTTTCTTCCTTTGAGGAGGCAGTGGCCAACACCTTGGCTCCCCAATGCTGGGCTAGTTGGATAGTGATTGTTCCACTTGACTGGAAAACAAACCAGAGAGATACTGAAAGAGTTCAGGAACAACGCTGACAACTCTCGTACTGCATGACCCCGAACTGATCAATGGTTCAATAGAATAAAAATGTCCGACCAATCAAGAGTAGAGGTCAAAGGTCGACTCACCCTGGCTCCATTGATGACTAGCACTGTGTCCCCAGCACATACTCTGGCCAGGTAATGCAGGACTGTGAACGCTCTCACTGCATCTCCTATACCTGCTGCTGCATCATGGAAACTCACTCGCATTGGCTTGATCACTAAAGAGAGGCCAAAGGTCAAGTGATGCAATTCACAGGTCTATGACAGCCTGGTGATTTTGAATTTCTTTGAATGCAAAAGAGTACTCCCAGAATTGTGTCTTGGTGCCAGACCAATGATGTGCATTTAACAGAACCTAACTCTGGTATTGCTGTGCAGGTATTCTGAATTCTGAAGGAACAGACAAATATCTAAACAGTGAGTAAATTGACCAGTCATTAATTGATTAAAAATAAACCAGTTCATATTTCTCAGATGGTTCAGACTACCTATGTCATGATCGCTAGCCACGCAATACTCTGCACATCCAGAGCAAATGCTGTCCACCGGAAGCACACCAGCAACTTCATCTCCAACTTTGCATCTTGTCACCCCTCCGCCAACTATAAAACAACCGTGACAAACATGCCTCAAATTCACAAAGCCAGCGGTTACATGCACCACACTTCAAATTACTGAGGTCATAACAGCATGATTTTTCTTTCATCAGTCAGCCTCCTGCTTCAGGAAATAGCGCCCTCTTGCGGTCATTCACAGAACCTCAGGGCATGCAGATGTGCTTCACCCCTCTGTCAGTCAATGAGAATTTGTGAATGCATTCTTTCTTAACTTTCAATTTAGAAAACTGTCAAAGCGACTGAACATTGAAATATACATAGATTTGAAATAAATCAACACATTTATGTCTGACAAGTGTAAGAAGTAAATTTGGGTCTGTGGCTAAAATTTCAGAATGCTTGGAAAGTTCAAGTGTAAATCCAACCTGTTTAAATTGAAATTGTTTCCTGTTCCAGTTGAAAACAGCTGTGAAGCTATGTCATGGGAAAGCCTTCTCCAGCATTCAACAAACATGGCCAACCTGAGAACACAACCTGTTTCTACCATGAATGTCATAACGAACCAACTGACCTATCAGCATCAAAACTTTCAATGTTCAGGAACATTCTGCCTTTACTCTTTTCATGGTATATGCATTTGCACTTTGTAATTTGACTTTTGATAATTTTCATTTTGGGGGGTGAGCCAAACTGAACTTTTAATTCCTACAAATCCTGAATGCTCCAACTATTCAAGGATTCAAGACTATCTGGGTTAATGGAATCAGACACAACAGGCTTCAACAGCTCCCTCACTTTTGGTGACCACTCCTGCAACTTCTCTACCGATTGGCAGACATTGTGTGTCCAGCTGTAACTCCCGAATGACATCAAGTCTTACAGGTGACAAGCCACAAGCTCTGACTTGGATTAATACTTGACCATCAGCTGGCTCAGGGACTGGAACCTTGGGTGGGAAATAATGAAGAGAAAACTGAATGAAGAGAAGAATAAGCATGGTGGTTTAGATCACAATTCAAGAAATGAAGCCAAAAAGATTGAGAGATACTCCTGCTGCTTAATCTCATAAACAAAAATTAACGAAGTCATTTTCCTCAAGTGTTAGCAAATTAGGCCTGCTTCCTGGAATTTGAAGAATTAAAAAAACTAATGTCCATGACTATGTAATGACCAGGTCCCTCGTTTATCATTTACTGGGAAAACTAACCAGGCTTCACAGTGGGCAGGTAGGTAGCACGATAAGGAAAATGACATCTTAAAATATATAATTCTGTGAAATATTTGGAATTAAAAAGGAGATGGAATACTCTTTCAAAATATTACAAAACCTCAAAACTGACCTCCACTTCAAGTTCAATATGACTTTCAACCATGCTTTGAACCCTCAAAATAGGAAAGAGTGGGATGCGACTTTACTCTTATTTTGTCATGTCACATAAACAGTCACAGACGTGGTACATGTAGGCCTATCGTGCCTTATGTATTCCTTCCTCTACAACATAAATATACACGTCATGATCAATCATGAGTATGATGGACACTTGAAGCATTTTTGCCATTACGTGGGCCAGGCATGCCAGGTTCAACAAACATCAAAAGAGTTACAATTAGAAATTCGAAATTTGCTGTGCATGACAACAGTGCCTCTCCTCTTTTAAAAAAAATCATCTGTTCCTTGCTCTATGAAAAAAAGTGGTAGGCCAAGGCCTAGTATTCAGTAGTGCCTACCAAAGTAGGCCTACCAATCATTTTTTTAAACTCCGCCCCAAACTTTTTCCCACTTCAACGTGTCCAAGGCGTCATGAAAGTTAAAAAAACAAGTGTCATACATGTTAAAAACAAACAACCCAGCACCACATTCAAATTACAATAATGTGAATACTTGCATCAGTTTTTAAAACAGCATTTTGTCCCTGTCTTTCAGACTCACGATCAAGAAAAACTGACTTCATTTTTCAGTAAGCATTCCATTCACATCACGGGTCTAACGAAACTGATCGGACGCACCCGAAGTTGCATGTGTTTTCCGATCAACGTTTCCCGGTCTTACCCTCGACCCTCAAATATTGAATGTGTTTGATTACTATATGACGGGACCAGATCAATAATGTACCACATGTTCTGTCGATGGCAAAAGAGTAGTGATTAGTCAGGGTATTTTTTATTAAAAATGAAAACAATCAATAAACACAGCACAAAGACAAAAGCTGGATCAAACATATGCCTTACGTTTTTTTAGAAAGCAATTGAAACAAGTAAATTTTTTATATTGAATTTTTACGTCGTGCTTCCATAGAAAACCTTTTAATAATAAATGCCATTGACCAATAGGATTTAACGTGTTTCCGTTTTACAGACGCCATTGTAGTGGGCGAGTCCTGCATCTTTCACCACGGTGGTTGTGAGCGAAGGGGAAATCATGTGATTTTCTCTTAGTTAGAAGATCAAAATTGTCCTAATCCCATTCTGTATAACTGTGGAAGAGTTTAGTAATAGAGTGGTAAGTAAAGCACAATTTTTCTTGCACCGACTGCTTGAAGTATTTCAATACTTTTCGTGTGTTGATGTCGTGTGATTTACCGATTGTGAATATTGCACGAGGGCGCTATTTCAATCGAGATTAGGACTATAATATTGGCCTAACTGTAGGCGGTGATTTTGTGGATAAAGTGGGGGTAGCCCCAGACTACGACTGTTAAGCGCAATTTTGAGCCTTACGCACATTTGTTATACTGCATCCCGAGTTGATTCGCCTTTGAATAACATCCATTCATAGGATAATCTGCCGAGAATGAAGTACCACAAATTTGCGCAAGATTCAACGTGTTCAAGATTGCGCTTAAGACTTTAAAACTAACGACAGGGCCAGTCTGGACTACCTCTTTGGCCCTACACCCATTCCCTCCCCCCCCCAAAAAAAGTGGAGAGTGTGAATGAAAAAAGCTTCCAACAAATTACAGTGTATATCAACCCCCATTTACCGCCTAAGTTAGGCCTACTCACCCAAACTGGTCGTCAATTCATCAATTTGGTCATTCTCCAAGACCAAGTCCAACTGTTTCTATCCATGAAATTTTGGTCCCTATTTAGTCATCTCAACAGAGCGGCTGGACAGCTGACACCTGTGACGAATTAATCCGACTAACTTCGACCCTACAAATCACCTTTTTTAACATTTAGACATGGTCGGGCAATATTAGTAGGGTCCGGCTTTTGCTTCCATTAATTCATTTCACTCAAGATAGCTTGTACCCTCAGTCAAAATCCTCCAAATTCACCTCAAAACTGTCCTTAGAATGTCTCATGCACCCATCTATGGATTAAGTGAGAATTGGAGATTCCAATAATGATAATGTGATTTGGCATGTTCTTCATAAAATGGACCAAAATGCAACTCCAGATGTCATTTTGCAAAACTTCTAAAAGAGTGACTTTAATGTAAAATACAAATTAGCACAAATTAGATCAAAGATCAATTATTTTGCTCCAGAACAGTATGTTTAATACGGACTGATATGAAAGCATCATAGAAACATGATTTGTTTACATTGTAACATATACAAATTGATAAAATATTGATTGACACTGATAAAATGTAACTTCAGTGGCCCTATTAGTGTTGCCAATGGTTTCTTGTTTGCTTGTGGTTTTGTTTAGTTTAGGGGTTGCTAGTTAATTTGTGTTGTTTTAATTGGGAAAGGATTTTTAAATAGCAGATGGTTTATTTTTCCTCATTGGCTCTGAAGAAAAATGCACTCCACTGATGAGTCCATGACTTACGTCTGAATCCCTTTAGAAGTAGATGCAACCCTAACTTACCCTTTTGTCAAAAACCAATGCTCAACGTCCTTGTCATATGTTGCCTGGATTGATTCCAAATGTCAGATGTCAACTGTTGAATATCCCTCACCCCCAGTAAAGGAATTCAACCGCCTAATCTACCCTTCCCCCTTTAACAAACTCCTTCCTGTTAGCACGCTATGAGACAGGGATTCCCATAGGCTTGAACCTTAGTGAACTGGCTCCATTCATACATCATTCAGCCAATCACATTGTCTGTTTTATGTGTGAGAGTTGCGCGTAATTGTCAAATCCAGATGTTGTTGCGCATTCCCTCATGTTTGTCTGGGTGGTGGTGTGCATTGAATACACCTTGCTTCGGGGTCAAATATTTGACTGAATCTCTCATAAGTCTTAGTTGTTGCTCAGTTGTTGAACACACCAGTGACCCGGACTCCACCAAAACAATGTGCATTCTTGGTAATCTAATGAATACTCATAAGATTCATGAATATTTAAGTTGTTTTTTGACAACCGATAGAATGCATATTCGTAATTGTCTTCATTGGTACTTAATATTCAATCTTTTGTTTCAAGTTCAACATCTGATAAATTTCCTTTTTAAAAGTCAAAGATTTCTTGATTTGATTGTGCATTTTCAGGTACCTGGAGGTTGTACAAGATGATGCAAGCGCAGGGTAAGTAAACAACGATTTGCATAAACTGTATTTACTAGAATTGTAAAATGTGTAAATATGCATACAAAATAACCTGAACAATGAACCCTCCTTTTGCTGTAACAATCGCAGTCAAAAATTCCGTCCGTTGATTTGCCACGGTACACAGACACATAGGGGTCATTGGACTGATTTTGACTTTGTCAAGAATGCGTCTTTGCATAGGAGGGTTTAATGAACAACCAGCCCAGAAGGGTGTACACATGGAAATGGTTGGGTCATTTTTTCCCTCTCTTGAAATTTTCTCCACAGAAGTATTTTTTGCTTTATGAGTACCATAACCACAAAGTGTGAATATATTATAAAACACATTGCAGATCTGTTACATGTAATATTGATTGTTTTATCAGCTGTTGAAGTGAATAATAATTGTCTGGCCTTCAGTACTCTAGCTTGAGGCTCATGTCATGACTTTTTCCGTACATTATATTTGATGCGGTTGCATTGCATGTCTTTTAGTTGATTTTAGGGATTGCTTGTGTTATAATGCACAGCTTGATTGAAATGTTAGAGAATTTTTTGTCAAAATTTGTATCTAAATGTAAACGATACTTACATTATACACGTACATATATTGACTGGTTCCTTTCATATGACACGATATCAGATCGTCAGTAAAACAGAATTTATCATTTTGTTTTGGAAACAGGTGTATGCATTGAAGTCACTCCCTAAAACAAGTGTCACTGTTCTGCGCTTGAATACAGAAGTTTTTTCTTGAATGAAAATGTATAAAACACCCCAAAGCGCCGTCGGAATAGAAGATAAATTTTAGAAAATAAAGAATGGTGCTATAATTGGACCCAAATATCCTTTCAATTGAGCATACATGTATTTGAACTCTGATTGGCGAATGACATCCCACACACATGTATGTACATAGGCCAGCGCCTTGTACATGTACATTTATGTTATGATCTTGACCTTGCGTCCCCTTTCACATATCAAGAACTTGTTTTAAAGGAAGTAATGGCCTTGAACCTTTGTAGGAAGTTCCAGGTCTTCAAGGATATGTGGTGACCGATTTCAAATGTCATACTGTCAAGGTCATGTGTTTATGCATTGACTACAGTCTGACCTCGTTGTGTAGATATTTGCAATCTGTACAAGTATGCCATTGCTGCATTTTCGTGGGTTTCACCAGCTTTTTGTCAGCTCTTTCGCAACAAATCTGTCACTCACAAAAAGTGGGAAGAAATACAGTAATTGACTGTGTTTATACTTGTTTTCTAGAAATACAGTGATTGACTGTGTTTATGCTTGGTTTCTAGAAATACAGTGCTTGACTGTGTTTATGCTTGGTTTCTAGAAATACAGTGCTTGACTGTGCTTATGCTTGGTTTCTAGAAATACAGTGCTTGACTGTGTTTATGCTTGGTTTCTAGAAATACAGTGCTTGACTGTGTTTATCTTGGTTTCTGGAAATACAGTGGTTGACTGTGTTTATGCTTGGTTTCTACCGGCAGTATTTACATGTAAAGCGTGCTCTACGGTATTTCTATCAGGATTTACGCGTTCACAGGTTTCCTTCTAGTGTACATGTACAATGTATGTGGACCTATTATGCTATACCTGCAAAAGCAGCCAAAGTAATTTTTTCAAAGGTTCAGAAAAAAGCAACGACGGAATCCCCCTCCCTTCGTCTGACTTATGAAGTTATCTGCTAATGTCCCCATGATTTTTTGCACTCTCCATTTCGATCCTGACGGATTACATTTGGGTCAGAATAATACAAAGAACTGGATGAAGAGTTTACATGATTGGATCCCCGTGGTTAGGGAAAATTCCCCCCAAAAATCCTAGGAAAAACGGTGTCCTGGAAAGTCATAAAAAAAGTCATGGAAAAGCCGTGGAAATTGAGATCATGTGTTGCAAGAGTTATTTTTGAGTGGCTGCTCTTGATTTGATCACAGAATAATAAATTACAATGATTATCCTTGTCAGTCAATGAGAAAGGTTATGACAGTCTTCCAGTTTATAATACCAACCAACTTTTCTCTGCAAAAAGGGTACATGTCAGGGGGGAAATTATCACATTTTAATCCTTGAAAGCCCAGGAAAAGCCATGGAATTTGGTTTTCGGATTTTGATGGGGACTGTGCATAACATAATTTCACGTAACGGTTACTCAGTACTTTGTTGCTTTATAGATTGGAGGATAACTGCTGAAGATCGGGCTAAACATGATGCCCAGTTCTACCAACTCAAGCCAGTCAGCGGGTTTATCACCGGAGAGCAGGCAAGGGGGTTCTTTCTCCAATCTGGCCTCCCTAAGAATGTCCTTGGCCACATTTGGTGAGTTGAGAGCTTTTCACACTAAAATCAGCTCTTTTTAAAAATCATTGTGACATGAATATGCAGTATGACAAGCCAAAAGCCCCTTCTGTTTAAATTAATCCACCAGGCTGTGCAAATATTTACACCGAGTGTGTCTAGCCTTTTGATATTGTGGTCTCTATCAGTTTCACGTCGGTCGGTGGAGGTTGGCATGACCGACCGATCTATCAGTTTCACATCGGTCAGTGGAGGTTGGCATGACTGTCAAGACTCAGTTTGTATGCTTTTCCTCTAGGAACCTTGCGGACATGAACGGCGACGGGAAGATGGACAAGCAGGAATTCTCCATTGCCATGTACCTCATCAAGAGGAAACTTCAGGGGACGGAGCTTCCCAGCACCCTCCCCCCGTCACTCAAGCAACACCCTAGTCCTAGTATGGGAGGAGGATTCGGCGGGTCCTTCTCCATGGGTAAGAGAACATGTGTCAGGACATGGACCAGGGGGTGTGTCAGGGGTTGTGTCTTTGTGTGTACCGTACACGTACATGTCTATACATGTATGCTGATGTGTGTTTGCTTTTACCCTAACACTTTTCAGGTCTTCACTTGGCATCGTCTTTCTATTGTGTCTTGATCCACGTGGCGTTCAGCTTCAAACCCAATCCCCTGGGGATTTCATAACAAACCTGATCCAGCCCAACACAGTCTAACACTTTATTATGTGCCGTCTCATGTACATTTTTTTTAAACTTTAAAAATGTGGACACCTGTTAGTGAACCCATCAGATTTGTATACGTTAAAAGTGTTGAATTCAGTGAGACGTACAATTGCTTATTAGGGCAAATGATTCTGTATGAATTATAATCCATCCCAAACCTCAATCACTCCTAACTCTAACACTCTTGCAGCATAGTTGGAGTTTTCTAAGTAAACATAGCTCCATTGCTTAGCTGTTTCTCCTCTTGGTTTCCATTAACATGTAGTATTCATGACCATTTCTGGTTTCGTTTTCCTTCGGAAGGTAATACTCATGAAAGATAGAGTACAGAGGTGTGAGAATTGAGCTGTTTAGCTGATTTCAGCTTTTTTTGTTCAGATGTCGATTCTCAATTTCAGCTTTTATTTGCACCTGCTGTGTACAAACGTACAAAGACGTCTTACATTTTAGCTATTTGCTAGCTGTTTTCAGCTTGAATTTTAAGTGGCCTCTCACGCCTCTGTAAAAATTGAATAACTATTTCTGTAAACTCTTGGAGGTGCACTATTGTGAATCGCCTGCCTTGTCAATGTCACTCCTCTTCAATTCAGTAGGTGTATGAAATGTTGATGAAGAAGTTGAGTAGATTCAAGTATTAACAAGATATTGATTCAATGATTCATTCTTCAGCTAGTCTAGAACTAACGCTTCTTTAATTCCCACAATTCTCCAAATCTCCGACTAATCCTCTCCTAGGTATGAGCACAATGACTGGCGTAGCACCCGTGCAGTCGACGGTTGGCATGGTAACCATGGGAGGAATGGGAACCATGCAACCTGTGGCTGGTTCCGTAGCCACAGGGCAAGGGAGTTTCAATACCCTACCGGCCAGGAGTAGCCCCATGGTATTATCAGGAATGACCATGGGTATGTGGACTAGCAAAAGGTCAAAAGGTCAAGCCTAGGGAACATTTAAACATCAAATAGAAATTTTCACATCTCACTAAATGTAACTTTGTGAATATGTCCCTTTGACCTTTTTTATCTCCATGTGACCTGATATGTTGTAGCAAGCAGTATTATTTAATGCAGTATTTGAAAGATTTAAAATATTGGCTTTGGGATTTAATGCTTTCTTCACGACTACTTGCTTCAGTGACTTAACCCATAACCTCTGGGACGCCTGGATGTTATGACTTACTCTTCCTATAATACTAGCTTTCCTTTAACACATCCATTGTTGCCTTTCAACCTCTATATAGTGTGCATTAAAATATTGATAACATTGGGCATACATGTACTGTGTGTGGCTTGAGGGTTTGTTTATCACGTTTGACCAGCTTACTAATATTTTATCTGAAACAACTTGTCATCTTTGTCCCTTTAACAAATAACTAATTCTCAGATTTTTCCCTCAAATGTGACAAAATATTTTGTAATGTACATCCATAACTGAATCAAGCACTCACATCCAGATTTACGTCTGTCTTTCCCCTTTAACTAAGGTTTGCAATCCTTGATTTTCCTTCAAGTTTCAAAGTGGGTTGTTACTGAAACCAGATTTTGACAACTTTTTGATCCCTTAGGAACAACCAGTCAAATGCTTGGACAGTCTGGTCCCGCTGGATTCCAAGGCATACCACGATCTGCGACCCTGCCCCACACTGCCACCCAGCCAATACAGGGATCACCAGAAAGGTTAGAAATCACACTTGAAGTGGCGTTTTTACAGGATGAAATCTTTTGTCAGTGTCATGTCATAGAGAGAACTTTTCATGGTGTCGATTTTATAGCTTTTTAGATGTTTTGCCCAAGTCCTTAAAGGTATGAAATTTGTCAGGATATTTTCTGATTTCAGAACCATTTCATCTGGCTCTTCGTCATGTCACGAGTTTTTAAAGAATCTCTTTTAATATCTGGAAAATGATTTGTTCACCGTTAAATTGTTTTATGTATAACATTTAATGATGAGTACAAGTAATGGGTATTTTAAAGGTTCCTGATACGTGTAGGCAAACACAAATTTATGTATACCATAGGCTCTGTGCTACTGTGGGGCCCTCAAGACCTCTGGTGATTAGTTCCCTCAAGACTCTGGTGATTAGGTCTTTTTAAATTCATTTTCCTCCAATCTCATCCCTTCGCCATTCAGGAAATGGACCACAGTTTCTTGGCACTTCAACTTTTACATCAAGTAGTACTGGCTACAAACCATTTGATGGATCTTGTCGGTTCTGAGTTGGGGTCGAATTGATTTCGCTGAACTGATGGCAAGCCATCAACAATATCATCCCTGATTTGCTAACTTTCTTGGCATTGCTGTATGTTAGAACGTCTGCTGCAATCAATATACACAATGAGTCATGGGTGATTTGTCTGGCACCTGTTTGGATCGATGTATTATGGATCAATCATCGGTGCTTTGAAATGACAACAGTATCATAACAGAGTCACGTTAACATGAGCATGTGATGGTTAGTCGATACCATAATGAGTGCATACACACGAAAGCTAGTTTCATCTGTACTGATGTTGGCATACGCTTTGCTAAAAATGATACGATTGGAGAAAGATTTATAAAGGTTGAGATGTCAGAATCTTTAACTACTGTGTCTGTGTACAGTTATCATCAAGTGAGTTCAAGAAAAGGCAAAAACTCTCTAAGTTAACTTGCCCTTTTGCTACAGGTCAGCATCCATGACCTCAAGCCCTGAGTGGTCTATTCCCCATGGTTCTAAACTGCGTTACAAGCAGACCTTCAACACAAGCGACAAAACACGCAGCGGGTTCCTGACTGGCCCCCAGGCTAGGCAGATACTTGTTCAGACCGGCCTACCACAGGGAATACTGGCACAGATATGGTAAGACAGAGCACTGGGCAGGTGGAGGTGGATGGAGTGGTTCCCAGACTCATTGGCTGATGACTAAAGCCTTTGCAGGAGGCTCAAACCCAACCAATGGAAGATGAAGACACATCCTAGATTAAGTTCCTTAACCCTCACAGTCCTCAGTCCTCCAACAGGTGAAGGATTGAGGACTGTTAGGGTTAAGGATATTGGGATAGATTCATTTGACTTTGGAACGTTGTTGATTTCAGAATAACTGAAAGGGAAGACCCTCTCCAATAATAATGACAACATAAATTAACCATTCCGCTGTAATCTGGCAAATAGCTTGTCAGGCATATAAAACACCATGGACCTTTTCAAGCAATTAAATGTCATCTCTTTTTCTTCCTCTTACCAGGGGTTTAGCTGACATAGACAATGATGGGAGACTCACTCAGGATGAGTTTTGCGTCGCCATGCATCTTGCCGATATGGCCAAATCCGGCCAGACCCTCCCTGTTACGCTCCCTATGCACCTGGTACCCCCGTCCTTCCGCAGGGCTAGATCAGGTAGCGCCACAGGCACCAGCAGCGGTCAGATAGCAGGACCTATGAGTACCACTATAGCTCCCAGTATGGGTGGTATGGCTCCCAGTATGGGTGGTATGGCTCCCAGTATGGGTGGTATGGCTCCCAGTAGGGGTGGTATGGCACCCAGTATGGGTGGTATGGCACCCAGTATGGGTCCCATGCAACCTGCTATGGGATCTGTGATGGGTATAGGGTCCATGCCAGCTACGGGTGGGATGATGATGCCCATAGCGGCACCTTTGTCTCCTGGGTTACCACAGCAACAGAGCCTGGATGAGCAAGCACCAATTGAAGAGCCATCAATGCCAGGTACTTCTGTCTAGATTGTATTCCATAACCAGCTCAAATCATCCAAAAATCCAGCACCTGACAGTCCCTCAGGGTCCAGACACTATTACTTTACCTGGTGCTTGAATTCCAAATTTTGTTCCAGAGCATTGTTCCCGAACAAAGAATGTTGCATTGGTTCACAGGACAGCGGTAGATTCTAGAGGTTCATGTCAATATCGAGCTAAAATACCTCAGAAGTAAAATGCTATTAAAGTGAGAATGCCTCCATAGTGTCTCTGGGAATTTTATACATATCTTGATTTCCATTGATGTTTTGAATCTTGTTCACTTTGGAAGGTTTTCCTGCTAATGTTTTGTGTCGTTGATTTCCTGGTTGGTAGTATCTTTTGAGGACAAGAAGAAGCAGAACTTTGAGAAGGGGCAGATGGAGTTGGAGAGAAGACGAGCATTGCTGAGAGAGGAACAGCAAAGAGAAAAGGTAGGAATCTTCAACGAGTCAAAGACATTAGCCAAGAAAACATAAGACATGTCACAGTCTTTAAGAACATTGTCGCTGTCTTAATTTGCTGCTTATTAAACCTTTTCACGTAATTCATAATTTGTAATACTGTATTGTGTGTAAAACTGCTTAGCATTACGAAATGAATGTTTCAAGAAATATTAACTTTGTAACTTTTTGGGGATAACAGGATCGTCAACTTCAAATTGAGAAGCAAGAGCAAGAAAAGAAGGAGAGGATTAGGTGAGTGGGAGGATTTGAAAACATTTGGTTCCACTGAGTAATTGTGTACTGCAATCTGATTCATATTTGGTGTTCGGGGAACCAGATCAAGATGGCCACTTCACAAGTGCTCAGCTGCTGC